TCAGATGGAGACAACTTGTTTAGCAACTTGAACGTCTCCTTGGCAATTTTGTCAACAAAGTCACTCTCCGGGCTGCCAAAATGCATCATCATTTTTAAAAGCAAGTTTTACAACAAACGGAAAACAATCTCCATAAAATAATTCATCTTGCATTAAAATAAGAAGCAGTGACACAACACAAAGTACATCAATATTGGTATGAAGGACTCTCTTTAAGGTTCCAAATTGATGAAGAATGAATGACCAAAAAAGTAAAATGCTGTGGAAATTTTATGAAGTTTCAGACCAAATATCATGAAATTATAGACCAATAACAGTTATGGTTTGATTCTTTTCCTCATCAGTATATGCAATGAAACATAATCCAGACATTTGTTTATTGATCAAGAAGTGTGTTATTATATCAGTAAGCTACAAAATAGTAAACCGAGGCTTAACCAACTACTAAATCAGAATTCAATCAGCCGAGGCCTAACCAATTATAAACGGGAATTCGATTACAGCTCTAAACCAAAAAAATCTTTTAAGGTACATACCTTTTCTCCGGCAGTACATAGCCGGCGATATCAGAAGCAGCTCTGAGGGCTTCTTTCCAAGCCGGAATTCTGTGTTCAAATCCCTGAAAAGACTCATCAGGTCTCTCAAACGGAACTCCGAATTTTCCCGTCTGATCGCTCACGTCCGATAATCGGAACTTTGTAGAAGACCGGTATAACCACCTGATTGAAGGACTTTTTGCACTCCATGATCTTCGCGAGTTCCTCTAAGCACCACGAGGAATCCGCGTAATTCTCTGAGAAAACGATGATCGAGATCTTTGATTGCTGGATCCTTTCGAGAAGTCCCGAGAGATCGTTGCCTCGCAGAAGTTCCTGGTCGATGAAAGCATCGATCCCTTTCCGGCGAAGATAATCGTGGAGATAACAGATGAAGGAATGACGCGTGTCTTCGCCTCGGAAACTGAGAAACACGTCGTATTGCCGGCGGGAAGGATCCGATCTGGAGGCAGCCATGGAAATCGAGGTTAGGATAAGCATAAACTTGGGGTTAAAATTTCATTTTCACATATTAAGAAATACATGTATTTCTGCTTTTAAACTATGTCAAAAATATTTTTGATATAGATTTCAAAATACACTTTAACAAAAAAAAAAGAATTAAACTATGTCAAAGAAATAGAGGTAGGTGAAAACGAAACGAGGAGATATGAACAATTACTTTTCCGATCTGAAACCAAATCGCTAAATTCCAGTTTTGCAGAATTTCAAATAACCATCGATCGAAATCAATGGAAGACTCGAAAGCTTTCTGTGAGTTCCTCAGCAACCGAAAACCTCCGAGATCGCTGTCGGAGAGCACCCCCGATGACGCCGTTGAATTTCTCCTTAGCCTGCCGTCCGACAGAATCAACAAGGTCGTCGGCAGTCTCAGCGCAGTTACATTCAAAGACGTGGACGGAAACCATAAGGAAAATCCATTTGGCAGCCAAATGGTAAGGACGTTTTTGGAGAAAGAACAGAAAGAATCTGGCAAGAAGAAGCTTCATGAAGGATACGAGTCTGAAACAGCACCGGCCACATCCTCTGTCCAGGGTTTCTCTACTCTCGGACCGAGGGATAATGTTCTTCCGGATCAAACATCCTCCGAGATGCTAGAATTGAGAGAGAAACTCAAGGAAGACGAAACTCCTCTCCAGCTTAGATTGCCTGAGCATAGCAATACGGGTTCTGATCCTATATTAGTCGTTTTTTGTGGTGACAACCAGGAATCAGAGGAGACATCCTTCATCAGCTACATCTTCAACGAGTTGTGTCTCCGTGGCTTCGCCCCTTTGAGATATGATCTAGCAAGGAGCATAGTTACTAGGGATCCGGAGATACTATACAAATCACGGGTTGGTATTATGATTATCTCGATGAACTATGCTTGTTCCAGAGAGTGCCTGGATGGAAATGTGGCAATCATGGACCATTTGAAAGCAAATGACCTTGTGCTTATTCCTGTGCTTTTTAAAGTAAGTGTTTCAGATGTTATGAATCAAAGCGACTTGCTTGGAAGAGCATTTTTGCAACTTGGGGAATCACCCCAACTTCTGAAATGGAGGGAGGCTATGATCAAATTAACTTCCTTAAATGGATATCAGTATATGAAGGGGTAAATTGATTTCTCTCTTCTCTCAGTAGGCCATCATCTATCTGTTGCTCTGCAAATTTATATACAACTTATCATATGTTTCAGCTTTATGTTAAAGGAAATCCTTCCAAAGGTTTTCAATTCAACAATACGACGATGTCTTTTTTTTTTATATCAAAAGTATGTTGTTTGGGTGCTTTATCTATTTCTGATGTCTTCTCTGTGCAGGCATGAGGTTATGCTTGCCAAGAATATCGTTACATATATCTGCTTGCTGCTCAATTTTGAAACTAACGGAATCAAGCTTGCATTAGAGAGTATCTTACCACTGCTAGATTGTTCTCAGCCTTCAGCCCCAATTATAGTTGGGCTTTGGGGTATGGCTGGCATAGGAAAGACTACCATCACAAGAGAGATTTTCAGAACACAAGCTGAGAGATATGACGTGTGCTACTTTCTGCCAGATTTTCATCTAATGTGTCAAACAAAAGGGCTGAGTCATTTGCGTGATGAATTCTTCTCGAAAATCTTTGGGGAAGAAAAAGTTTTCATAGACGCATGTGATACAAAACTAAGTTTCTTAAGGGATAGGTTCCTTGGTAAAAAGATTCTCATTGTTCTTGATGGTGTGAGTAATGCTAGAGATGCAGAAATTTTTGTTGGAGGGTTTGGCTGGTTTTCTGGTGGACATAAAATCATCTTAACATCTAGGAATAGGCAAGTTCTTGTACAGTGTAAAGCCAAAGAGATTTACAAGATCCCAAAATTATCCGAGTCTGGTTCTTTTCGCCTTTGGTTTGATAATGACACTGAGCAAAATTGGAAGGGAAAGATGTCATTCATATCGGAGTTAGTGAACTACGCCAGTGGCAATCCATTGGCTCTCCGAGTCTTAGTTTCGTCTATACAAAAGCAATGTATATACGATGAGACGCAACATCTGAAAAGATTGCGTCAACATCCTCTGATCGAGATTCAGGATGCATTTAGAAGAAGTTTTAATGTAGTAGATGACAACGAGAAGAACACATTTTTGGACCTCGCATGTTTTTTCAGAGGGGAAAATAAAGATCGTGTGGTGAACATCCTTGATGGTTGCGGTTTTCTTACAGATTTAGGAATCTGTGGTCTCATTGACGAGTCTCTCATCAGCCTAGTAGATAACATGATAGAAATGCCCAACATTTTCCAAGACACAGGTCGATTTATTGTTTGCCAAGAAAACAATGAGGCAGGCAAGCGTAGCAGATTGTGGGATTCTGATGACATTGCTGATGTACTGACAAACAAAACAGTGAGTCTTTGAAAACATATAATCTTTAATTCCATTAAAACTGTAGAATACTGCTTAGTGCCTAGGTTCTTTTCTTTCAGTAATAAAAGCTGATTTTTTTCCCAACTTCTTTGCCCTTTCTCTTCAGGGAACAGAAGCAATTGAAGGCATATTTTTCGATACGTCTCGCTTGACACTTGAGTTGAGTTCTACTGTATTTGAGAAAGTGTATAGACTTAGATTGCTTAAGTTCCACTGTCAGAGTTTTACAAGCAGGGTTTGTCTACCTCAGGGCCTCCACTCGTTGCCTGATGAGCTACGGCTACTCCACTGGGAAAGATATCCTCTCGGATCCTTACCTCGGAACTTCAATCCTAAAAATCTCGTAGAACTGAACATGCCCTATAGTAACATGACAAAACTATGGAAAGGAACAAAGGTATGTCTTGACATCATAGTGTAATCTGCTGCATACATGAAGTAATTAGCATTTACTTTATAACTTATTTTGGTTGTTCATGCTGTAAACAGAATCTTGAGAATCTAAAGAGGATTATTCTGAGTCATTCTCGACAGTTGACGGAATTTCCAAGGCTTTCAAAGGCCAGGGACCTTGAGCATATTGATCTAGAAGGATGTACGAGTCTGGTTAAAGTGAACTCATCTATTCTTCATCATCACAAGCTTATTTTCTTGAGTCTGAAAGATTGTTCTCATTTGCGAATTATGCCTACCACGGTTCATCTAGAATCTCTTGAAGTTCTTAATCTATCTGGCTGCTCAGAGCTCGAGGACCTACAAGATTTCTCTCCTAACCTGAAAGAGCTATATCTAGCTGGGACTGCCATTAAAGAAATTCCATTGTCAATCAGGGATCTCACTAAACTTGTGACATTCGATCTAGAGAATTGTAGTAGACTTCAGCACCTGCCACCGGAGATAAGCAGCCTAAAAGCTGTGGTCACCACTAGGCCAAAACGTCCTGCTTCTTCCATTAATCTATCTAGCGTGGAGGATATGGCACCACCATGTAAGAGATACCGATTGAAGAGAGTTATTGAATATGTTATTCTGGGCTTACGAAAAAGGAAGCAAAAAATGAGTGTCTCTAGCCACAAACCAGGTAAACATCTGACACGTTCATTGGCAGATACATGTTAATAGGGTTTTGACCGTCATGTTTCTCTCATCTTCTAAGCCAGCTAGCTTCAATCTGCAGGTTCAGCTTTTACCTTAGTAAACGATCCCGCTTACAAGTCTTTCCGTGACTTACTAGAAAGCTCCAGCCAACCCGAGTGCCAATCTTACATGAAGACAGGATACTGCAAATTCGGTAATGATTGTATATATCTTCATCCGAGAAACAGAGAAACCCATCTCCCTGAGAGCAGATCTTCCATGGCTTCGGAGACACCACATTCGAATCGTCTAAGAGTTTTGCCCTCATTTGGGACTTCGTCATTTGTGTCTGACATAACACAAGCAACCGTTGGTAGAGACACCATTAATCCAAAGCCACAGGTAAACATCTGACACGTTCATTGGCAGATACATGTTAATAGGCTTTTGACCGTCACGTTGAACTCAATTAACCTAATATGAATGAGATTTCTTGGTAGCATAAAAAACCGCGTTCCTCTCATCTTCTAAACCAGCTAGCTTCATTCTGCAGGTTTTATTGGATGATGAAATTGACTCAGCTTCTTCTGCATACATGTCGGATGATGAAATTGACTCAGATTCTTCTTCAGGTTTTCTCGGATGATGAAATTTATTTTCTCCATGGCTGCTGCTGCGTCTTCCTGCAAATTGGATCCTTCTGCGAGGCAACAATCTCTCGGGACTTCTCAAAAGGATCATTTTTTTTTCAGAGAATTACGCGACTTCCTCCTGGTGCTTAGAGGAACTCGCGAAGATCATGGAGTCCAAGAAGACCTACGATCAGGTGCTTTTTCAGGTCTTCTACAAAGACGTGAGACATCAGACGGGAAGATTGATTTCTTCTGATGCTGAATTTCTTCTTCTCCAGGTTTTCCGACATGGATCTTCTTCTTTCGACATGTACAATTCATCATCCGAGAGACAGAGAAACCTATGTCCCTGAGAGTTCCTTAAGCTTTGTAGGCCTGTAAATCCCTCTACATAAACTAGCAGTAGCAGACGTTAATTTTGTTTCCTTTAATTTAAAGCTCATCATAAAACTGTCCGTACTTTGACGCTCACTCAATTCTTTCAACAGGGAAAACGTCTATGTGCCTTCTATTCTCACACTGGAAACTGCAGCTCTGGTCATACTTTTATATTTGATCATCCGTCATTGGTGTCAACACACAAGAACACATTTTCCATGGCTTCCGAGACACCTCACATGAATCTGCTAGGAATTTTTCTCACACTTCCATCAAGTGAGCTTGTGGAAGCATCAACTGAAAATCCCAGAATACACAAGAACACATCGTCCATTACTTCCAAAATAGCGCTCTCGAATCTGCTAGGACTTTCTTTTGCTCTTGGAGCTTCACCAAGTGAGCTTGTGGAAGCATCAACTGTTAACCCTCAAGTTGGTTTCATAAACTAAGTTAACCCTCCGTCTTAATGACGGAAAGACCTTGGACTGAAGCAGTCAAAATGAAAACGACATAGTGATTGACTATTTTCTTCTCCAATGTTTTTCTAAAATTATGTAGAGTTAGCACAAAGGATCTAACTGCTTCTCTTTCGGTGCACTGTGCAGGAATGGTTTACTTTCGATCCGTCCGTTTTGGTTGGTGAAATGTGGCGTTTTGTCTGTCTCCACATTGTAACAAGAAAGGTGTCAGCTTGCAGATCAATAGAAGAGGAGGCGAGAAAAGAGCGTCAGTCAAAAACCGTTCTAAAGGTAAAGCACCTGACAGTTTCATTGGCAAATACATCTAAATAGGTAGCCTCTGAAGTCACTTCTTCTGACTTCTCCTCCTGTAACCGATGATTTTACGGATAGTACACCACATCAACCAAATATAAATGAGAATTTCAAGCAGCTTCATTTTGCAGGTTCAACTTGGTCCAGTTTTTGCTTGCTTGGAACATGATCAAACTGTCGGAGAAATCTAGAGCAGAATAAGCGCCAATAATACAGAGCACGATGATGATACACTCGGCTCTCCTTTGGTCAAAACAGAAAACACCAACAAAGAGAAAGAGACGGAGAGATGTAATATAGATATATTTACACTTTTACACTCAAAATTCCGATGCTATCTCCTCACTGTTCTCACTACTATCAATAGTACTTATTCTCCATTACCTACCTCAGTTTTAGCTGATACAAGGGTTAAAAATAAGTGACAATTCTTCTATATGGTTATTCTTCAATACCAATAATAAGAAGCCACTTCGTGTTGTCTTCCTTCTGTTGTACGTATACGTCATTTTCAATTATCTCAAGCATCATGTATCAAAAGACTTTCAGACAAAGATAGTCTTTGAAACATGATCCGATCTCTGTGTGAATCCAGTCCTTGCCACAAAACCAGCTTTCTACACTTAGTAGTTACTTCCAGAGATTAGGCTTTGCTGGCTCCATGTAGCTAAGAACAGAACAACTCATAAAGCGCATACGACTTCTTCCTTTATTCTCTTACTCTTCAGTAGCGCTTCTTCTTCTAAGCAGTAACGGTTTCTCTTGGGCAAAACAATTACCGCTTTATCGAGGTTACCATTCTCCTGTAATCCCTGCAACCTATAATCATTCTCATCTGGAGCATATAGCAAACTCATCCCACATTTCACCAC